TTGTGTTGCTTGTGTTGTACTGTGAAGGTAGAGGCCTTGCGACTGGCTGATCGCCCGTCAAAGGAGTCCTACCGATTGTGTGTAGGAATAAGGAACTGAAAAAGCGGCTAAGGTCCAACAAAAGAACCGTAGAGCCATAGGTAGACAGACAGACAGACAGACAGGTAGGTAGGTAGACAGACAGACAGACAGAGATGGATGGGTGGATAAAATTAAGCCCATTTTTAGATTACTCGAGGGTTTTACAGATATGAAGCGTCAAGACTCGAAATAAGGCCACGTATTGAACTTCTACATTTTAAATTCTTCGAGGATTGCCCTCTATAATTAATTTGCTATGGGAGTTAAATCCCGAAATGTGACGAGAGAACCGAACGCGCTGTTAAGTACTCGTATGAAGAACCAGTAACTTGGGTGATGGGCAAGGAGGGGGAAGATGCGACATGTTCATTCACTGAACAAGTTCTTAATTCACTGGAGCCGTCAATCAAATTATAGGAACTTGTCTTCTGGCCCAGCGGTTCACGACGCCGAGCCGAAGAAGTCACGGCGCTCCAATCAAATTGTAAACGCATTCAGTCCGTATAATAATTGCTACATTGGATTACGAAGGGCAGAATACTTCATACGTCAAACAGAGCTTATTATCCTGGTTTGATGAGCACTGTTTCCCGATTGTACTTTGTCTAAAGGAGCTGTTCTCAGACGATCTTTCCTCCGGACCACTTGAGAATTGTTCAAGTTAAAAGTAATATATAATTCAAATTTTAGTAAAATGAGGTACAATGGGAAAAGAAAGGCAATATAAATGCAGTTCAAAATCAATACATACTCGTATATCATATTATCATGAATATGTCTGCTGTGTTAAAATTATTCATATAAGTTCCATGTAATACTGGTATTGGTTACCTTGAGCCTTGGGTCACATTTAGCATGCATCCTGCTTTGCAGTTGGGCCTGACAGCTTGATGAGAACCCGGCGAGTGGCATCAGAAATATACTGCTTTATCTGGAGGTTCCGGATACTTTCCAGTTGATTGAATCCAGAAATCAATAAGGAAATTCCTTTTTAATTCCGAACCTTGTATTCCGTCAACTCCGTCAACTGACAATTCCCCCCCAAAAATACTTTGTAATTTGCTGGAAAAATTAGATATCGGTTATTATTTGATCATCTGAAGGATTACGTTTTCAATTATTTCGTTCCTCTTATGCTGGAAAGTAATTTTCAGCTTATTTCTTGAACATAAGGAGGTGTCCTTTAATATAATTTCTTATGTTTCATCAAGAGCCAATCATTTTCAGAAAGAAAACATTTCAATCCTCAAAACCAGTTGAAACTCTCTTTAAAAAAAAGGTACCAAATAAATGACGTTCCTTAATCATTCTGTTAATATTGTCTCTTAGATTGAAAATGTCACCGAAATTTCTTGAAGGCCAACGTTTGAATTGTTTGAGCGTATAAATGCATCGACATTGTTAGTTGATAGTTAGAAGCAGGATGAATCTTCGAAATAATTTTTGGTTTGAAACAAAGATTTTGATATAAATATATGTACTTATTTCAGTAGTTCAATAAAATGAATAAGGGCTGCTTATACTCACAGTTCTGAGAGCCTCACATCCAACATTGTACCTGTTGACAGTCACCTTACATTAGTATGAAGAAGTTTTTGAATGAGTATTGGCCATTTGCTCGCACAGTTTGTGGCATTAAGAGTTTTCAGAGCAGTATCCAAAACATCCTTCATATCTCTTCGCATTTAGAGCTTGTCGGTGAATGCTACAGTGACACAACAGACGACTTTGAGGGTTCCAGCTACTCTTCCACTGGGTGTTCCCGTTATTGCCCATATAGATCGGTACATTCCACACCCCATGCAGCGTCCGAAAGCAGTATGCGGAGATTGTTCTACATTTCGTCGGATGACAACAAATATCTTCAAACACCGTTCCTTCCCATCCACACCAAATTTATGCAACAAGATTTTACAAGTCTCCGATATGGGTCGTTTCGTCTAATTGCAGTACAGAGTACTTGGTGTTGTTAAAGGCAGACCCATTTCTAAGCAACTTCCGAAATAAGCGCACGCAACAATAGAACCAGGTAGCAAGAGGTTCTTTTCTATGTGGTGCGCATGTATCCATTGCTAGGTAACGGGCCAATAAACACGCATTCTTGACAATAGAATATGGTGTTTTCCGTGGTGTCCATGCCGAGAAGTTTTTGAGACCAAAGTCAGAAGAACTGGAAGAGTACGAGGAGTACACCGGAATGTACAGCAGTGGTTTAGTTGAGTTGAGTTGAGGGTTCAGCTGTGGAGTGTTGACCAGCGGACAACGGAAGCTGAAGAATCTCCATCGCTAAAATTCGTTACCAGGAAACGTCTAGTGATAACACTGCAGATGAATAGCCATAGTGGAGAGCAGTTGCCACGTAGAGACTAGTGAAAGCTGATTGAGAAGACTTCTTTTCTTTTTATTGCTACCGGGGTGGGACTAAGTCCCTTGTACTGCGGCCACTTCTGGCCTATTGTACCAGCCCAAGATGATAGGTGAGGGTGATTGTGGAGCAGTTGGTGGAATGAAGATTGGCAGGGGAAACCGAAGTACTCGGAGAAAACCAATCCCAGCGCCACTTTGTCCACCACAAACCCCACTTGACCAGACCCGAGATCGAACCCGGGCCGCCGCGGTGAGAAGCGAGCGACTAACCGCTTGAGCTATGGCGAGGCCTTTGAGAAGACTTAGTACGGAGTATTTGTAGTGTGGAAATCAACAATAGCGTAATAATTATTTGTAGTTACAACTTGTAAGTGGTCAGTAAATATAAACGCGTGACAGTATTAAGCACACGATTAGCTAAAACATGTTCACAACTCCATATGGATTTCTGGTTTCGCCCATCCGAGAAGCCCGAACCAAGTTCCGTAATCAGACTTGATTACAGTGGCTAGTTTGAGCGAGTTTTATGCCTTGTTTGCACGATGTGCTTAACATAAAAGGACAGTGGAGAGGTAGTCGCTCTGTCTGTCAGTTATGTGTTTTATCTTCTAAACTACTGATTGGATTTCAATTAATTTGTTCTGAAATTTCTGGACCAAGTGTTATTTGATGAATTTAATTTTGTTTACTATTTATTCGATCCAACTTCTGTAGGAAGCTCAAAATGAAATTGATCAGTTCTCACAAGAGCAGCAGATAGGACAAGAAAATAATATATGCCATGGTGTTTATATGTTCTTAATAATTGCATGTTATGTTTAGAACATTTCATGGTGTTGAGAATGGTTAACAAAATGAAATGGTAAAAGTCTGAATCCGGCGTAATATACCCGTACTTAGCAATTTTTGGGGCTTAAATTTGAGTATAGACTCTGTATAATATAATATAATATAATCTATAAATCGGAAGAAAATCATAGTTTTATATTGCTAAAACATCCTTGAGGCGACGTGTCAGATATTAAAAACTTGTAGATGACTCCAACAAATCGAAATTGCATTCAGAAAGAATCTAGGGAAAGGAGTTAAAGCTGGAGAGTTCTTGCTGCTGTTCGGTTCAGAGTGTTTTGTCTTCCCAACTGCTGGTTAGAAACGCAAAGATTAAAATGTACAAATTAATAATTGTGTCTGTTGTTTTTTGTGGCTTTTAAACTTCGTCTCTAGCACTGATGTAAGGACATAAATTCAGAGTGTTTTAGAACACAGCACCGAGGAGAATATTTTTACCCAAGAGAAGAGACATAACGACATAAAACTGCAATATGAGGAGCTTAATGATTTGTACTCTTCACCAGATATTTTTAGGGTGATCACATAAATTAGAGAGAGATGGTCCGGATATGTAATACGCATGGGACGTGTTAGGAATGCATACAGTATTCCGGTCGGAAAATCTGAAAGAAGGGGGGGGGGGAGGATAATTTAAACGCTTAGACAGACATTGGAGAATAATGTGACATGACGCCTGAAAGCCAGAGTGCTAGACAACAGCTCGTCACGGAAGTAACACACGTTCCCGCGGCAACGAAAAGACGCGGAATAGTCCATTACTAGACAACGGTTCGGTAAGCATGGTCCAGCGGCAACGTTTAGACGCAGTACATTCGATTGGCCTCGAACTTACAAATGGAGAGTTCAGTTCAATTCAGTTCAATGATTGATTCGTAAGAGAATTCCCGAAGTTAGATGTGCAGCTGTGAAGTGTTAACTATCGGACAACGGAAGCTGAAGAAGTGACCGATTCGTAAATCAGAACCAAGCCAGTCACAGGAGAAGGGAAGACAGTCCATTAAGGAATGGAGCGAGTTTTAGGCAGCTATTGATTTTGAGCTGCTGTAGTTGATTGTAATTGTTTGTAATTGTAACAGAAGTGACAGTAAATCCAATCATCCAATCCAGAACCTGTTGTTATTAGTCACAGGTCCCTGGACTCGTGACAGTATTATTAAGACGGGTTTTAAGTAATAGGGTGGGACGATATAGCATGAGGATAGGGATTGATGGTGGGGAATTGCGAGTACTCCATCAAATTCCTTAAAAGATAGGAAATGTCTTGAGTAGCTCAGTGAATGTTCGCTTCTCAAGATGGACTCTGCTGTACGGGATTAGTTAGTTGGTTAACATTTAATGTACTTTCCAAGTTAGCAACCATCGCTCGTAAATTGTGCCTACTCTTGATAGATTTTCCCTGAAACATTCATTGAAACAGAAATGCAGGTAAATTCGTATATCCATTTACTCTTTATTGTCCTCGTCAAAAACAGATTTGTGTGTTTCTCTATGTTGCTGATTTTTAATGCCGATTGTGTCATAAGCGTTCAGCGAAAAATGTTTTTTCTGTGATAAAGATTGTAAAGCAAAGAATGTGGGAAATGTGCAAGAAGAAACGTTTCAACTCTTCTTTGCTAAATGGACGTAACAGATTGTTCGAGTTTGTCTGGTGTATAAAGTTTTTATGCCACTTTTGAGCAACACTGTTTTCTGCTCCGCAGAACGTGTGCTCCGGGATGACGAACGACCCCTAGAGATCCTGCAAGAGTGGGGACCTCATCAGGACCAGGTCAAGTTCGTCCTCAGGTATACCGTACTGCCATCTGCAATGAACGGTGAGTACTGAGGTACTAATCCTTGTTTTTGTGAACTCGGGTAGCCTTAGCGTTATTTTGCCATAGAAATGTACAGAAGACATCCAAGTAGGGAAATAACTGGCTCATATCTTGTGTTATTAATGCTATTTTATCTACCTGCACGTTTGCCTTCAGTTGTAAGTCTGATTATCAGCGGGGAGCAGGACGCGCTCCGCCCTCTCTCTTTCTCTCTGATCTCGTAATATTTATCACAGGGGCTTTGTACCAGTCCAAGTGGCCATGTGTATTTAAGTATGACCTCTCTGATATCCAGCTGGCATGTTTTAAGAGCGATATTTTCTGAATTGTGAGTCGAGTGATGTGTTTACTTCCGTAGTTTATCTGTGTGCATAACTGTTTGTCTATCTATCGATTTATCTAACTCCATATCTGTCTTCCTTTTTACATTTTTCTTCCTTCAGTTTTTTCCTCTTTTTTTATGGTACATCTACGAGGGTAAATATGTCTCTCTCAAGTTGTATTTTATGTTTCCCTTCCGCATGTTGAGTGTCTACATATGTAGCGGAAGTCAGCGGGCTATGAAATATAAATATTATGTAATATACGAATGAGCTGTTAAAAGAGACTTAGCTGTTCGAGAAAGAGAACTCTGACGTAAGGCAGTTTAACGCTGCTGTGACTAACGAAGGCTCACTAAAACCCAAAAACTTCTGAACAGTTCTATCCACATACGGCTTAATTTTTTCAACATTCTTTTTTGAGAGGCTGGATGTCATAACTGATTGCAATTTACTGTTAGACACATTTCGCAAATTACAAAATTTCAATAGCACGTTAACCTTTTGTTTTCCGAATATCCCACTTCTGACACCAAATTGTCACGTGTTGGGTATATAACGCGACAAATAACTTCACAATTTTATCCGCTGCACTAGGCGACTTCACGATCCACACTGTGTCACTCCTGATCACACACCAACATAAAACCGGAAAGTAATAGACGTTTCTTTAATGGGTAATGCTATTATGGTAATACGGAATTACTGTAGCTTAGTTCTGTGTTTCTAGACAGCAGGTTGGCTAGGTAGGCGTGCACAGCCCATCTAGATGCAAATATTGCAGCTTCCTCTTAGGCAGCAAATACTGCCCCTTCGCATTCCTTAAGGAAACAAAATGTAGTACCTTGCTTCGCTTTACACTATTCATGGCTCCGTTCTCTTCTTAAGTTTAATCCCGTCTCCTGCTTAATTCCCGTATACATCTCACTTGTAATCCGATCATAATCTCGCAGACACGGACATTTCGTAAGATCCTACTCTCTATGGGACTAAGTCCTTCAAGGATTGCCATAACTGTTTGTTCTTGCTCATCCGTGTCTTCTTTCCTCTCAGGTCACTGCCAATATACGAGACTCCATCAGCAGCGGTACAGCACTTGTAACTCGGTTGTTAATAATTCCTAATGTGGAGATCGTGTGCGTCCGTCCATTCGGCTTCAAGTTCCTTCTGCTACGTTTTACAAAATGTGCTGTTTGGAATATGGGTTTGAATTTGTTTTTGAGACATTTTTCGTTCGTATCTAAACTAAACTAAACTCTCTGGCTTGAGTCCGCAAGTGAACTATACCGACAGAGCGACCGCCGCTTGTCGGCGAAGTTAATGTCAACTTTAGAGGATAGAGGTTGTCGCGTGTTCAGCACAACGAATCCCCATGGCCGTTAATTTCGGTTTTCTAAACCAGAGCCGCTATTTCCTTGAAACAGCTCCTCAGTTATCCTCACGAGGTTGAGTGGACCCCGTTCCGGACGCAGTGCTTCTCAGAAAATCTGGTAGCGCCGGGAATCGAACCCGGGACCTTTGAATCTATAGCCAGGAACTCTGACCACTAGACCACAGGGGCAGTCTTTGGTTCGTATCAGTTAAACATAACCCTTATGTTACATGAACCCCCAGTGAACTTTGCCGGTGTTCTTAAAAACGGCTCGTAAGCGCGAATGACTATGCTGTTGAAGGGTCTCCAAACCCATTATTATTCTTAGAGGGGTGAGACTGAGTCCACTTGGCACTGCGGCCACTACTGGCCAATTGTACCAGCCCAAGATAATAGATTATGGTGTTGGCGGAACAATTTGTATACTGAAGATTGGCAGGGGAAACCGAAGTCCTTACAGAAAGCCTACCTCATTGCCACTTTGTCCACCACAGATCCCATATCACCTGACCCAGGCTCGAACCCGGGCCGCCGCAATGGAAAGCCGGCGACTAACCGCCAGAGCCATGGCACTGCTTTCCAAACCCACTACTACTACCTGGAAATGGCTCAGCGTAAAAAAACTGCTACATGATGTAAAATATATAGCTGTTTAGGATCTACGCATGTTACTGGGAATATACACTCAGTACACAACGAAACAAAAGGAACTAATAAGTTCTATGTTCAGTGTAGAGCATTTGCCTTTGCAGCAATAGATTTGTATCTGCAATAAATGAACGTGACAATCAAACTACTCGTATCTAATAACACTTTCGAGGAATGTTTCACTCCTTTCAAGCAAAATTTTCAAGCTTTATTGGAAGTGCTTAGGCAAGAAGCGACGAACGGTGGCACTATCTGCATACCGATTTAAATTTCCTCGTCTTCCTGCAGTTTAGCACGGAATGCTCGCATTTGCATACAAATTGACGCTTCAGTATACTGCTCGACACTTTTCCACACCTAGGGACATTGCCTCAGTGTCACCTACTTAACAAATCCGCGTGTTTGTCTCAAGGCAGTGTGTATCACAGTCCCCAGTTCTGTAGACAACTACCCAGACTTTCTAGATTGGACATTTCATGTTTCAGCTGTTCCGAAACTGGTGAGTTGATAGGCGCAGCATCAACTCAGATACAACAGTACAACTCATAATTATATTCTTAATGAAGAACAGAGTCTGCTTGCTTCCATTCGGATTGCAATATTTAATATTTCATTTCCCTATCTGAAAACTGAAATAGCAGAATTCAGTATGATATTTTAGGTTTTCACGGTGGTGTGAGGATTTATTTGTGTTGTGGTAATCTGGATCATGACGTCGTATAGTCTGGTAGGTGAGCACTAACGGTATGGAGGAACATACTTCACAGAGATATTGGGTTTTCGGACTTTATCCATCGTCCTGGTTTTTAAGATAACTAATAAAAACACGACGTTTCGGAAACTGGATCTGTTTCCGTCCTCAGGTGAGGGAAAAACACCTATTCTGTTGGGTCCCTTAGAAAGAGCCTCAATCACTGGATCCAGTGTTATATGCCATCGTCAGAATCCTATAGTAACTACTAGGAACATACTTGCTTCACGTTTAGAGGAAGTAGTACGTATGTTCCTTCAAAAATATGACATTTTGTGTGCAAGTATAGAAGATAATCAATACGAATAAGTATGAAATGAATAATTCTCAAGCCATGGTGTAGAATTGAACAAGCTGGGAAAATCAAACCGCAGTGTACCCCACAAGTATGGAGCAAAATAAATCCGAGTATGTAGGATGTGAATAGTATCTACCATCCTATGGTGTACGTCTTTACGCTATTCATCCCGTTGTGTGTGATTGAAGTCCTGTTGTGTTTTATTAACAGCACGCGTAGATGGTACATTACTTATAATCCAATCCAACAATACAGGCAGACAACTCCCAGCACACACAGCTAATTATCGTTATTGCCGCTGTAAGCAGCACCATACATGTTCTACGTAATGCGCCGCGCTATTACATCATTACTGTACCCACTCCCAGAAAGTTTTCGTACTGCACAATTCTGTGCACCGTACGTAATGCACCATAAATATATAATTGCGACGTACAAATAATACAAGTGAATGAACCGAAGAAAACATTCACAACGAAATCAGCTGCATCTGAACAACACTTAAACTTAGTTACTTAATCCGTTCCTCTTATACCCTAAGGTGTCGAGGTTGTTTCTTCATTTTGATCATTTTACAGACGGCAGGACTCCTTGGACGAGTAATTAGCTCGTCGCAAAGCCTCTACCTAAATACATACACATGCCAAACATCAATGCCTTTTGTGGGATTCGAACCCACGATCCCGGCTTCCAAGCGAGCGAAGACAGTACATGCCATGACCGGCCATAGCACCTAAAACACAAGAAATGTATATATGTAATTAGATCTTGACCTGCGCCGAACACCAAGCGTTTTGTACATATCTCCCCAGCCAACACGCACAACGTAAGAATCCTGTTTGACTGAAATCTACGTTATATCTTTAAGCAACATCCTGCAACCCTCTAATACGTATGTTAGAAGAATTTTAGACGTAGCTAGGTATTGTATCGTAAGTACTATAAGTACAACACTGTAATTGATTCATTACAACTGGATCCAGCTTCCAGCGTAATAAAATTATTTATTTTTATGTGAAATGTTCACCTTATGATAATGAATATTTGATCGAAACATTTTATGACTTTAAGAAATAAAAACAATTAGGTGGTTATAATTGATGTAACATCTATGAGTGTTTTATAGACGGTTAATAAAACACATAGGACTATGGTGTATATATTGTACACGCTTTGTAAACCAGAAAAACAAATTACCTTTCCGACATTCCGTATATAAGTATAGAAGGCTATGAATATGTGTGATATGAACAGCTCTCACCCTGTGCTACAGATATCCAACAAGCTTAGTAGATCGAGACTGAAAGTAACTCTATGACGTTCTGCAAGTAAGTGTAGAAGAAAATAAGTACATGGGAAATGAGTAATTCTCAACCTATGGTGCAGATACTGAACAAGGTTAGTAATTCAAAGCACAGTCTACCTCTTCTACACATTGTAGATAAGTGTAGAGCACATAAATACGTAGGGCATGAATAATTCTGTACCTTAGATGCGGATATTGAACAAGTTCGGTAAATCAGACCTCTCAGAATCCTAGGTATGAACACGGAGCACAAAAAGTATGTAGGATATGAAAAGTTCTCGACCTTTGATGTAGGTATTGAGCAGCCTCTGTAAAGGAGAGCCGTGAAATTGGCGCCACGCTCTTCCTGCACACATCCTCTTCCATCGCTCAGTGAAATTTACGGAGTGCGCGGGCCTGGAGGTAGCGTTCCGTGCAGCAAGGTCATATATTGCCTCCACTGCTTCCAAAAACATTGTTTCATGTACAGACTGCAACAGCTTAGTTTTAATGCTTGGACATTATGCATCGTCTAGATTTTACTTTAGAAATGCTATGTTTCGGAATTGGTTCTGCTTCTCTCTGTGACGTAGACTACTTTCCGGCAGGTCTATCAGATCAGGTAATCCCTTTTCCCCTGAATAATCATTTTCTTAAATGTTTTGGTTTCTGTGTAAGGACATAGATGTTGGAGCAGATTATGTTCTGAAGCTACTGTAGCGCACTTTTGTCGCAAAATTTCACGCGTAACACGAAAGTCTTAGGCAGTGTCCAACAGGACGTCGTTTAAACATGGATATCGTAGTGTGATTCTGTTACAGATGATCTTAAATTTTGTTTTTTGCTTCGCGCCTACTAGATACAGTGATTGCATGATGGAAAGGCGCCAGGTTATCATCCGTCCTCATGTCTTACATGTCTTCTACTGATTGACTGTACTGAAAGTGGATGGCAGCTTCCCTCATGTTTAGTACGAAGTTCCATTCCCCCCACTCTTCGCCTCCATCCGCCTTCAGGACTCAGGACGCCTATAACAATGCGCCCTTTTGTTTAAAAAGTTGTTCTTTGCCTTAATTAAGTACCACGCCATGAAGAGGTTTGGGTGGATGAACGTATCGATCAACATCGATCTGAGATTTCTGAGGAACTGACGGACTAGATCAATGTACCACTGAGAGCTTGTGGTGTGTGTGTGAAGAAGACGGGTCCAACAATCCGGCATCGTTTCCGACCAACCACCAACCTTAACAGGATGTTGGAAAAACTGACACTTGGATTTGTCGAATGCGATCACTAAGAGTTTACGCGCCCTGAGGGGTGGAACCATGCCTTATCAGTGAAGTTTGTTCTGTCTTTTTCCAACAATCATTCACAGTTATGAGCCCATTTTGTACAGTCTTACAGCAGTAGCTGATACATGACGTACAATTTGTAAGCAAATGAGGTGACGTTCTGCAGAGATCTCTGACATGTTCGGTGAGATGTTCTAGTCTGCTGTGCAAGATTCCCCGCTGATTTGCTTAGAGTTCCGCGCCAACCTCTGCCAAACTCTCCTCAGTCAGAACAATAGAAAGGCTTCCATGTTTTGAAACGTTCCCATTTCCGTTCTTCCTGGAAACTGTCAGAAGGTTCAAGGTAAACGATTTTGTTGGTACCTTACGACATCTAGTTCTTCAGAAAAAATCATTTGAGATGCTTTCAACGACTCTGTTTTCAAATAGCATTCCTCAACTAAACATCCCTGCATATTGGGCGTCCTATTTATACACT